GCCTCTTCTTGGGTTTGTAAAAATTTGAACGTCGAAAGTTCTAAATGTGCCTGCTCTATTTGCTCCCATAAATCATGTAACTGTTTCGTTAATACTTGTGCTCTAGTCTGTAATTGCAATAATTGTATGAAGGAGCAGCTAATATTAAATTTCATGAATTTTTTAGAGTTACATAAATCTAAATACCTGGTATCCTCCAGTGAGAACTTTTAGTTTTTTTTCCATTCTAGCAGCTCGTTTAGCTTCTCCAGTCATGTGCATTCGATTTTCTTCCAATTTTCTTTCACACGCTTCCACTCTATCCTTTTTCGAAGCTAGAGTCGCTCGTGTGTAACGTTTCTGGGTTTCCAAATACAAAATCTGGGACAAGCACTCCTCCCACACTGTTGTGTAAGAATCTAAACTGAGCTCTCCATGTGCCATACCATCCTTTACAACTGACATCTCTTCGATTAAGAGTTTTTTAGCCTAAATCATAAAAATATAGTGAAATAACTGAGTATAAAAATTCAAATAGGGTACATTGCATATCAAAACTTACCGCAGTAAGGTCGTCTTCATCAAAGTTAATGTAGGGATGCTGTTCTAAATAAGCTTGAGCTACAGAACTCGAGCCACCCTTACGATTTTGTTGCAATGGATTTTGCAGTGAGTCATATTGCATCATTGTGATCATTTCTCTTTTAATTAATTCCTCAGCCTAAAATGAAATACCTATTAACAATAATTATATAAAACGACTGTCTTAAACAGTAATGAACTCTACGTGTTCGCACCCTTTGCAAGTCTGTTAACGAAGTATCCATAAACGGCCTCAAAATATTCATGTTCACATCAATAGGCCGTGGTAAATCTCGTTGTATAACTTGTGATCTACGCGATAATTCCCTCTTTCCTACAAAGTACACAATTATAACTGTATTGAAGAAAGTATTTCATATGAGATAGGAACGTTTTTGCAGTCATATCATTACGCACTCTGCTCCATTAATTCTTGCTGTCGTCTGGCGTCTATATCAGCTTGATCTTCGACGATTTCAGTCGCAGGTGTGGATGCATTTTCATCTTTATTTTCCCCTTCAGGGACTACTATTTCATAATCATTCCGTGGGGCTGGAAGAGTGCTGAGACCAGCACGTAATTGTTCTTTAACTTGCTTCTGAACCAGAGGAGTCTCTGAACCATCAATATTCTCATCTGGATTAATGCTGAGCTTGTCACGAACAGGTGTAGTTGCCAGAACTCCGTTCTGTGTTCGTACAGAAGTCGGCGTATTGAAAGAATTTGCTGGAGTTCCGTCGCTACGTTGCGAACGAAAAGGTGTAGCCAAAATTGTATTTGGTGTAGCTATGGCGTTTGCAGTAGGAACAACACCGGTAAAGTCTGAATTGTTTAATGGTGTATTTAAACCACCTGTAAATTAAAAAGTCAAAGCGTTGCATCTCCAACATGTCTCATCTCCAATTATGTAAAGTATATTACCTACCCTTTAATGGAGTATCTACGTGAGTAAGGGCCATAACGTTCTGGGCTTCTTGCAGAATTCTATCAGTAGCAGCTGGGGTGCGAGGTGTTATAGCTGTATTTGTTGGTAGAGAATAATCGGCAAGCAAACTATCTGATAATGTGATTCCACTTTCAGTTGCAACCTCACGAGCAACCTATTATAAAATGTAAAAATTAGAAATATCCATATATTTTATAAACTAGGGTGTATGTATGATATAACACTGTACCTCGGATGCTCTCCCAAGTTTAACAACTTGTTGTAATTCTTGGTCAGATATCTGTGGTTCTGGTAAAACTAATTTACTCCTTTTCTTTATTGGCTCTTCATTATTGAGCATTCCCATTGGAATATCATTCTCCTTGCGTTGTTTTAGCTTCTGCTTGTCTTTCCTTCGTTCCATTTCTTCCTTCTCTTGCCTCAATTCACCATCTAAATGTTGCTGTCTCATCCTAGAAAAGTCGACAGCGAGTGGATCTACATGCTCATTCGACGTATCATAAAATCCTGTTGCAGGCCGTTTCTCGAATGGAATTTCAGAGTTGTAATTAACCCCACGTTTCCGTTTATTTTTTTGCGAGACAGTAATACCAGCAGCTCTCAATTCTCTACGTTTTTGTAGAGCAGCCAGTCTGCGGGCTTCTTCCAATTGCTTCTCCCTAGCTTTACGTTTTGCTTTCTTGCCCTGAGTATTTGCAAGCCTGGCACGTGCCTCAGACAACATCTCCAGTTCTAAAAATTACTACTATTATACTCCTTAGATGGAAAAAGAAGTAATTGCTTATAAAATAGATTTACCATCTTCATCCATATCTTTTGGATCAGGTCTAGCTGGTTTTGTTTCCGGATTTGGATCAATTTCTCCTGGTTTGAGTTTGCGAGGATCATCTGCTGCATCATCTCCTTCTTCTTTCTTCTGAGCTTGATCACTAAATAAGGAAAAGACATGAATTATGTACAAATCTAAATTACACAAATATTTTCTATGATAATCAAGATAACTCACAGTAAGTATTCATAACGTTCTAAACATTGAGCTGCAGTACGTCCAATAATTGGAGCAATGGTTCTCCATTGTGTAGGCATCAATTTGGCAAGATGCAACAATTTCTCGTCTTCCTCTCTGCTCCATTCAGTTTTCTTGATGCTTGGATCCAACCATTCGAACCATCGTGCTTTACATTGTTTGGCAGATTTTCTATGTAAGAGGGATGCTATTCGACTCCATTGATTTTTCCCATATTTCATCACAGCGGCTTTCAGGATTTCATCCTGTAATAAATTACATCAGTTAACACTTTGACTGCTACGTTGGTCATATATACCCGGCCATGGGTTCTCCTGTTATGCCATAGTGGTCATTCGTAACCTGCACGATTGAAGTACTTACAATTGTAAAAGTTGAATGAAAATTTACAGTTAGTGAATTTTAAACACTACCGCTAATTAGAAGATACTTTGAAATAAAAAGTGCCCCATTGAACAAAGTGAGCTAGAATACGCATTTGAATCGCTGTAACAAGTATATTGAAACTAGAGGAGAATATTCTGAATAAAAAAATCGAAAAATATTCATATATCTTATTTCAATGATGTTTTCCTCGGCCAGTCTCGAAACTTATTTGGAACACTGTGTATATTCTACACGTTTCAGCAAAATATTCTGCACGTTTTATGACGAAATAACGAATGCGAATTTTTTAATGTTGTCTTATATCAACAATTTATTATCATTTATATTATCATTTATCATTATATGCTTTGAATAATAAAAATTCTACCGTGACATCCTAAGTTTTAAAAAGGCGAAGTGTTAAAACGAACATGAATTTTATAAAGAATTTATAATTTTATAATGAAAATGTAAGTTCCAGGTTAGATGTTGAATCTTACCTCAGTGTTCCGCCAAACACCACCTTTTATCATAATGCGGGGCATTTTTTATATGTTCTTTACTGTCAAACAACGGAAAACAAGGCGAACAATTGTATAAACTATGCCTGATTGCTTTCACAATACTGCCTCGGAATACTGAGCAGAACTGAACAATGGAATCTAAGGCAAAACATCCAGAAATATTAAGGTACAGTAGGTACGGACACTACTTTTCCCTTATTGGTTGACGCTTCACAGGTAAATATATAGTGCTGCCCCCACAGTTTTAAACCCCAAGCGAAACAATTCTCACCGACAACCAATGTAACTTGTCACTTTATCATGCTTGCAATCTCACTCTATTCGCGCAACCGTTTGCTTGACGCTCCATCAGAAACACGTGGCGCAATATTCGACCTGTACTTTTCACCCCGTAGGAATCTCGACCGCTCGGTCCAGCCTCTAGAAACGGCAACCATTACTATACTTATTAAAAAGTTTTAATCTACAAAATTTTATTAATTTAGTCATCCTAGTACTTGTCAACTGTGACGGCCAGCAATCAATATCCTACGGTACAAGAAGGATTCTCGAAGAAATTTTACTTTTGAAAATTTGGAAAACAAAGCTGAAACATGCATTCATATTCTCTTAAAGAATTAGAGTTAAGAATTATTGAAGATTGAAACAATTTATCGGCAAAAAAGATTAAAAAACTATACGAAAAAATTCTAAAGCCTCTAGTAGAAATTTTAATCCGCAATCTACAGCGAAACTAAAAATATGAGGAAATTCCCGATGGCAACGTTTGTCCATAAACGAGATTCGTATGAGTCTGCATATGGCGAACTTTCACGGTCCAAATTGAGTACTTTATCGACTTAAAAAGTAGAAACTAAAGGACGTTCTTTCCGGTAGATACCTTTCTCTGACTGTCAATTGAACTATTATGTAAGAGGCAATGAGTGTATACGGCGCGGACATTTAAATGGTGGAAATAGTATTGATGTAACCTGTACTATAGAAATATGATATAAAGTGTAATTATTTTTATGGAAAGTTGAACAATTATTTCTACTAATTTTACAGGGTGTTCCCACCCTTAGCCAAATAGAACTGTTGAGCTCGAATCTCTAATTGCTAGACCATCTCGTGGAGGGTGAGACTCAGGTGAGACTGATGTGAGACAAGAGGGCGAGTCTCAGACCGCAACTGATTTCCTTCCCTGTCGCTCCTGGCAACAGAGGATCCCACAAAATACCCTCAGGCGGCCACCTTATCACCCTCGTCTGCTGAAACCCTTTTTCTGGCGGGGAGAGACGACGCAGGAACTCATGGGGAACGTCTGTTTCTTTTCGGTAATAGGATGTCCGTTGTTAATTGGGTTTCTTGAGTTCTGGCTGTCATCGGGATGTTTAGCCCATATGGCGTGGTCATCTCTCGATAGACTCGTGCGCACGGAATTTGTTCTGGCCGTAAGTCTAGAGAGGTCCCACGTGAACAGCGCTGGGTACCTTCCAAAGAGTTGTGGTCCGTTTCTAAAACCTAGGCCGCGATCCGCACGTAATTTTACATTAATCGCGTATCGGATATTCCACAATTTTTCTGGATGAATTGTTCTCTATTATCGCATTTCTGCAGCGACCCAAAGTATCTAGTGAATTTTCCAAAATTCTTTCAAGCCTCCATAATTTCTTTTTCATTTTCATGATTAGGATATTTTTTATAATGTTTTCTGTTACAGATTGACTGTTGATGTATTAAAAGAAACACCGTGCAACGTATCTGAGAAAAGAACTAGACTTAGGCTAAAGTATTTTCATAAATTGTCACTAGATTATATTTTAGATCATGACTAATGCAGTAATAATATTGACGAAACGACATTTTTCAGTACACTGCAATATTGAACATTCGGAGCAAGCAGCACAGTTACAAGAAATGTTCGTAAAACTACACTTACATCAGATATAGGTCAGAAAAATGTAGAACGATTACACTATTCGACACGATTTTTGAGTTCCTATAGCCACCATAAAATTCTTGTAGAGCTTCACTCCTTGAACAAGAATCCGAAAACCGAATTTCTCCATCACCCTCAGTTTTTTAAATAAACGAACTTTTGTAAAAACCCAAAATTTTCGACAAAAATGAGGTATTGCATGGAAAGTATAAACGTTAGAAAGTTCTAATTGCTGTTAAAAGATAGGGGAGAGTTTCCGAATATAGTAGCATGTAATTTATTAATTGTTTTTGGTCCTAAATAGCAATAAATTAATGTCAAAATTTAAAAAAGTGTCGACGTGAGCAGTTTCTGCGCAATATTTTTGTAGTTTTACGAAAGTGTTTTGTTCGGCACGAAAACTCTACTCAGGATTGGATTCTGTAGACATTTCTGAAGAAGAAACGGCCCGGTAAAAGTGTCAGAACGATATACATTTCGAGTAGGTCGAGAAAATGTTCGTCGGTAACATGTACACGATGTTTTGCCGCCATGTGCTTCGCTGCTCGCTTGTCTCTGTCCGACAGGGCCGAAGCTACGCGTAATCAACACCGATTGAGGGATCCAATGGGGTACCCACTTTGCGGGTGGGGCGTGCCACTTTGAATTCTTTCCTTCGTTCCATTCCTTCCTCCTTTTGCCTCAATTCCCCATCTAAATGTTGCTGTCTCATCCTAGAAAAGTCGACGAGTGGATCTACATGCTCGTTCGACGTATCATAAAATCTAGTTGTTGCAATCCAGTTCGAATGGAATTTTAGAGTTGTAATTAACCCCACGTTTGCATTTATTCTTTTGCGAGACTGTAATACCAGCAGCTCTCAATTCTCCACGTTTTTGTAGAGCAGCCAGTCTGCAGGTTTCTTCCAATTGCTTCTCCCTAGCTTTACGTTTTGCTTTCTTGCCCTGCGTATTTGCAAGCACGTGCCTCAGACAACATCTTCAGTTCTGAAAATTACTACTATTGTACTCTTTAAATGGAAAAAGAGTATAATATATTGCTTATAAAATAGATTTACCATCTTCATCCATATCTTTTGGATCAGGTCTAGCAGCTTCTGTTTCCGGATTTGGATCAATTTCTCCTGGTTTGTGTTTGAGAGCATCTCCTTCTTCTTTTTTTTAAGCTTGATGACTAAATAGGGAAAAAACATGAATTATGTACAAATCTAAATTATACAAATATTTTCTGTGATAATCAAGATAACTCACAGTAAGTATCCATAACGTTCTATACATTGAGCTGCAGTATGTCCAATAATTGGTGCAACGGTTCTCCATTGTGTAGGCATCAATTTGGCAAGATGCAACAATTTCTCGTCTTCTTCTCTGCTCCATTCGGTTTTTTTGATGCTTGGATCCAACCATTCGAACCATCGTGCTTTACATTGTTTGGCTGACTTTCTGTGTAAGGGGGATGCTATTCGACTCCATTGATTTTTCCCATATTTCATCACAGCGGCTTTCAGGATTTCATCCTGTAATAGATTACATCAGTTAAAATGAACATGTTTTATAACGGATATTGATATAGGTTCGTCGTCGCCAAAGTTCGATTCATATTCTGGATCTTGTGTGGCCTGTAGGTCAAACTCGGCATTTGTGTTCATATATGACGATGTATATTTAGATTCGAACAAATTTAATATTAAAGCCCTTATGGACATATGGAAAATAGAGCTGTGGGGTTGTGCCTCCAAGTCTAACCTAAAAATCATACAAAGAATCCAGTCAAAAATTTTTCATACCTTAACTTACGCTTCATGGTACGTCCCCAATGATATTCTTCATGAAGACTTGGGTATTCCTTACATAAATAAAGTAATACATGACAGAAGCGTCAACCGTCATGCTAGACTCGGCTCTTATAATATTAATAGGAGACTGAATGGTCATCGGACCTCAATGAGGCCTAGGAGGATTCTTCTGTGGAAGTCTCCTCATCATGATGTGGGCTCATTCGAGCATATTAGCTTATAGAATTCATACATTCTGAATCGATAAAAATATTCAGAATCGAACGAATTTGTAAAAGAAGCACTCATTTGGTTAAACGTTTGGTTCATTTTACCAGCAAGAGATGGAACAAACACAAGAGCTTTCGATCCAAGATTTCTTGTTCTCCATCAGGGTGTGATTTTATAATCATTGTAGCAGCAACCTTCAAACAAAGGTCCTTTAAATATCATCTGCATATAATTTTTTGATTTCTTAGTGAGATCCATATCATAAAAAGCACAAAATTCTTACCAGAACCAAATGTATACACATTCAAACATTTCAGTAATCTTTCTTCACAAGTGAGCTCTAGGTGTGCATCTTGAGTCCAAAAGTTTAGAATCTTCTCTTGTATTTGTTCAGTGGGATCTAATATGCCATTAAATAACATTTCTTTGCTACTGTACAACCATTTCCTTACATCATCCTCATCAGACGTATCTTCAACATACTTCTTATAAATATCTATAAATATGTCGTAGGCGCATTCTCTGTATTCAAAAGAATCATATTTGATATATGTAACACCAAAGCAGTTTGAGACAATAGATACGATGTAGAAACAATAGAAACCAAAGTATGAGTGACCTGCAATGCTATCTTCACATAAGGTAAAACTTTGTTTTTTAATAGATCACATGAAACTTCATGTATTCTAATTCTTTCAATACCCGTTCTACATTGAGCTTTGGTGTACACTGCAAAAATATTTCTAAGCAATCTGATTGTTCCATTTTATCCACCCAGAACATGTTCGCAGTAACGAAGTCGAAATAAATTATTTCAGCATCTGGATAACTTTTGTATATTGCACGAATGCATTTTATTTGTTTGTATATACACGATATTTGCATCTGTTTTAATACGCTTTTAATTCGTTCAATTATGAGCTCCTTTCTGCTCGAAGTACTATTGTGCTCGTCTAAGTGTTTCAAGATAAAGCCAAAACATTCGCAACACTGCAAAACAGTCTCTTCATCGTCTTTCTAGTTTTGTAGAGATTTCTCTGCAAACTCTAAGACATTACTTTTTTTCGAGTATCTTGTCAATTATTCCGTTCACCATACAAATTAATATCAACTATACTGTGGATTCAGGTGCAGTCTGCATTTTGTTATTTAAATTCTGTGGCAATTTCAAACAAGTATGCCACATTTCAAGGATAATTTTTATCATTTACGTGTTATATTTGTAAACAGTTTTAGAAATCTCGTCTGTTTTGTTCACAATAGCTTTGTCGATCATTATTTCCCAAAACTTCTGCGCAATGATTTTCTCATTAGTTGTGTCAGGTTGGGCTACACTCTGCCAATTTATTAACATCCCTATAATGTCAGTAATTACATAGTTCAACGGATTTCGTAATAAATACGAATAGGTCAAACGTATTATTGGCTTTAGACAATATTTTGCATATGGTTTGAATACGGTTTGCATGTTCAATACAATTTTCAGCACGGACAGTTTAACGTTGCATTGCAGAATAGTTTCAACCATGTTGGTATCACGAAATCATCGTCATCAGGTGCTACAGATATTTGTTCTGATACCATATGATTCAACACACCACAAATCGTTGCCATGCATTCGTGATTATTTAGTTCGTCGCTTTCAAATAACACACTCATGCTTTCTTTTGTGGTAGCTCTATTGTTAGGATTATTGCGTACAACAGCCTCATTGTAATCACAAGCATCTATGTCCTCGTTCAAGGAACAGCAAGTCAGATTATATTTATATTATATACTTATATTAACCAATTTTTTATAGTTCTGCGGATATTCCTTCAAAGTTTGTTGAGGATTGTACCGCTTCTGACTATCCACAAGGTTTGCCCAGATCAAGTTGTTCCTTCTTCTTACTCTCAGCCAAGATGCCCATGTAGGCACCTTCATTTGTTCTTAAGCAGACAACTGATATGGAAAAATTGTATGCAGAACCGTAGTAGTCTTATTATCACTTTGTGTTCTGGATCAGGTGTCTTAAACATACGTACGTGTTGTGCGTTGCTGTTAGATTTTTTACCAGTTCTTTTCCAGTTACTACGTCATCAAAGGCATTTTGTGTAATTACACTGTCAGGATTTTCTATCTCATCTATGTTTATTTTCGCGAATATAATTCCAACGAGATCATAGCAGCCTATCTTTGATACTATCAGATGACTGGTATCCGAACTGCTTCCAATAATTGTTTGCTCGATAACAGTGTACATCTCGCGAATGTTATTTTCAACAAATTTCCGTATCTCGGTAATTTCACAGAACTGAAATAATGGCAAAATAAATTTCCGATTATCGAATCTCTCGTTTATAGACATGTTCAAGTCTAAGAATAATTTATATGCTGCCTCCATAGAGTTTAAAGAATTTGTGGAACTAATGCAATTGAAATATTTCTTTAGATACTTTTCAGTTTTTCGTTGCATAAATGTTCAGCGATTCCAGCAACGAATAAAATTATAGATTTAAATACTACAATTGATTTTGTAACGGTATGCACCGTTAACAATGTCTGGAAACAGTTAATGACTTTTAAAACTTTCACATCTCTTTGTGAAAAATCGTTTGGACACAAGGCAATCCTGTCGCTTCGCAGAGCACGTAAAATGGCAAACAATCTTGGTTGAGAATTGGACGTCATATCGGTCAAACATACGAGGAAATTCTGAATAATACTGATTTTGTCATTTAGATAATTGCTCTTTGTTAATTGATTCAATATCCACGCGTGAAAATCTTTATTCAAAGACTGCACCTCCATTGGATTTTCCTTCAAGTGCACAACAATCTCATAAATGCTTATTAGCTTTTCTTTTTTATCGCCTAAATTTTTCGTAGCTCGTTCAAAAACTGTAAGTCTCTTAATTACTGCATCCACTAAGGATTTCCTGCTTTCCTGTAATTCACTTTTATGTCGTTGTATAAACAGGAAGAATTGCTCGGTCATTGTTAACAAAAATGATTAATTATATATTATATTTTTAAAATTATATTAATCTGATCAATTGATAAGTCAAATATAGGCAATATTATTTCAGATAATGCTTCAGATAATGCACTTCGACATCGTGAGCCACAATTCCTGCCAGCAAGTGCATCCTCAACTAAATGGGCGAGTTTTTTATTGATAATATTTTTCATATTTCTCTAATAAACAAATCCTTTACGTCCCTTAACGCAATTATTTATTATTAAATCAGCTTTGCGAATCATTCGTTGAATTCTATTCGGACACGGAATTATTTAAATTAAAATATCATTTACTAACTTTGTTAATCTCATATGCACACCAGAAAATTAAAACGGCTGTCACGGTTAAACTACGTATTATTTCGGGTCCGAAAATTTAGTAAATACATTGTGTGTGTATTCTTGACTTGAGCCAAATTAATTAATAGTTCATACCAATACTTATAATCAAAATAATCAAATTCTTGAAAGAACTTCATATGACGTGACAATAGTATATACTATGACTGTAGATTGTTACTTTTTTAATTTGATATCTCTCTGGACGACTTAGATATACACGACTTAGAACCCAGTTATACAGTTCTTCGTCATATTTTTATTTAAAATCATCTGAAAGTGCTTCTGACAAATCCAAAAGCACATCCAAATATATTTGAAATATATCAATTGATTTTGTATACTAAGTGGATTATTTTAAAATCATAGATGAGAGAATAAGAGTTTATGCATTGCAGTTGTTCTCTGAAATTATATACCTGTTTTATAAAATCATTTCTTTATTGTATGAATAACATAATTGCATTTTCTTGTATTTCTGGAATTTCTGGTGTATGCTTCGTAATTTTACTAATCACACTCAATACTAATAGCATGTCGTGTTTGGTCTCATTTTAATTGGCAGAATCTCATCACAATATGTTAAAAAAATTTTCATGTATAAAAGATTAGAAATAAAGAAGTGAACATATTGTTTGCATTCTAGCATTATTGTGTATTTATATTAATAGAGTTTATATCAAATTACCCACAATCATTTCACCGATAATATCTTAATTGACACCATTTGACCGACAATATTAATTGTCATGACCGACATTGATTCTATGTTTACCTGCTAATGATAGTCATTCAGTACGATTGGAAGATAAACATAAAATCAATATTGGTAAAATGAGTGTCCATGAAAACATTGTCAGTTAATTAATATTGTCGGCGAAATCAATGTCAGTCAAATGGTGCAGGTTAAGACATTGTTGGTGAAATGATTGTCGATGATTTGATACAAACCCGCATTAATATACACCGATATGCTGGCTGCTGACTTTTTAATTTACGAAATGGTGTGCCGCGAGGTTCAAAGAATCGTGTTTGAACTTCCCAAGTTGTCCATCTTCGAATCCAAGCAGACAGACTATGTATTCGAGAGAATTTAGAATAACTCTAATTTAGTATCAGGTCATACTGAACGAGATAGGATCATACAGAACTCAATTATGAGTTGGGATTTCATTGAACTATAGTTAAAATAGAGTAACATTGGCTTGTAATTTTGATTATAATCATATTCATCACTTTTTTATTTGATTGCACTTATTAATGTTAAAATAGTTTAAACTGGAATAGTTCAGTATTATCATCTAGTTCCATCGTCCATATTAACACTCTAAATGTTTTATGAAAATTTTCTATGAAGAGCCGACGTTTTCTCCTGGATTAAATTGCTATTTTACAAATAAACAAAGTTATAATTAAATTATTGTTTGTAAATAAGCAATGAAGTGTTAGGTGAACTTCACAAAAATTTAAATTTAATTGCTGAAAGTATTCGCAACATTACATAAAAATTCATGTGCCTGACGTCTCGAGTCTGCTCGAGATTGCTCAAGACTGCTTGAGATTGCTCGAAATAGCATAGAATACTCGAGACTGCTCTGGACTGCTAGATTGCTCTAGACTGATCGAGAAGGCTCAATACTGATCGAGACTAGTCTAGATGGCTCGAAACTGCTCGAGACTGGACGAGAAGGCACGAGACTGCTCGAGGCTGATAAGTTGCTCGGGACTACTGAAGACTACTGGAGACAGCACGAGACTGCTCGAGACTGCTCGACACGGCTGCGTACTGCTTTAGACTGTGCGAGATGGATCGAGAGTGCTAGACTGCTCAATATTGCTCGAGATGGCTTGTGACTGCTCGAGATGGCTCAATGTTACACGAGGCTGGTCGCGACATCTCGAGACTGCTTGAGTCATCTCGGGACTGTTAGACTGCTCGAGAAGGCTCGAGACTGCTGGAGAAGGTTTGAGACTGCTCGAGACTGATCGAGAATGATCGAGTCTTCTCGAGTCTACTCGTGTCTGCTCGAGAGTTCTTGAGTCTTCTAGACTGCAGGGGATGAATCGAGATTGCTCGAGACTGCACGTGACAGCTCGGAACTATTGAAGACTGCGCCAGACAGCTAGAAACTTCACGAGACTGCTAAAAACTAACAGACCCGAGCAGTCTCGAGCAATCTCGAGCATCCCCGAACAATCTCGTAGCACCTCGAACTCTTCCGAGCTGTCGCGCAGACGCGAGCAGTTTCGAGCAGCCTCCAAGAATCTCGGACAATATCAAGGAGTCTCGAACCGAGTCAAGCAGTCTGGTAGTTTCGAGGTGTTTCGACCAGCCACGAGAACTCGCGTGGGATCTCGAGCAATCTCGCAGCATCGAGCTTTCTCGAGTCAGCTCAATCATGCTCGTAACGTCTGGGTCAGTCTCGAGCATGTTAGCAATCTTCAGCAGTTTTCAACTGTCACAAACTGTATCGAAAAAACTTGTGGAGTTTCGCGCAGTCTCGAGCACTCTCGCAATCTGCGTCGTACCTGTTCGCGGACCATTCATTGAATTTAAATCTCGTCAATTTTCAGGTACAGTATTGATTTGTGTTCTGGATGCAATCTTCTTTTAGTGAATTTTTCTTATAACACCATTTCTCCTCATGACCTAATTTCCCACAATATTTACATTTAGTTGTGTTATAGTGTTAACTGTATTTATATTGTCTAGGACAGTAGCCTTTTCACATGTAGTTATTCCTGTTCTCATCTGGACTTGTCCCTTTTAATTTTTAAATCATGTCCAGATTCCTGGTTTATTTGTTTATCTGCTCGAACAGCTAACATAATCATGGTATCTAAATCTGGTATGTCTTGTCCTGATACAGCGTAGATAATATATATAAATAATGCATAATCCATTTAAAAATGTATTTTCAGTAAAAAGTGAAGTCAACAAACCTAAGGGTTTTACACGTCGGCATCCCATTAACTCGTTTAATATTCGTTCCATGCTGATTTAGATTTGTAAGTTAATTTCATTAGGTTAATTAATTCCTCAATGGCTTTCGGGGTTTTATTTTTTACTATTCTAAAAACTTCATTTGGTTCATCTCTGGTAATCTTGCTTCTAGCTAAAGTTAACAAGAGATTTTTATCTTCAAGTCCAACTATAGAAATAGCCATTGTACATTTGTCTATGAAATGATCAGCAAAACTTTCCTTCCCATTGAAATCAGGGATAAAATTAATCAAAAAGTTTGCCACTAAAAGAGATGTGTGTGATATTGCTGCACGAGATTCAAGAAAGTTAGGAAGCGTATTATGAATTGTTGGGTCACCAATAGATATTGATTCCCTATCAGAATTATATATTGAAGTCCCAGGAAATTGCAACGAGACAACCCCTAAATCAAACCCTGATGATTCTAATTGCTCGCCGCTGTTGTTTGAAATCCTCGTTACTACTTCCGTCGAGATATCATTGTTGCCATTTCCAACTGTCGTCACTGTTACGTCCAGGGATGGTAAAGTCCTGGTACCGCACTGTTGTTTCCAGGGATGTTTAGGTCCAAGTGTTGTAACTGCTGCTTCCAGGGTTGTAAAAGTCCTTCCTCCTTTTGATTTCATATGAGATAGTACGTGTAATTTACGGCTTGACTTATATGGATTATCAAAATCACCCGCATACTCTTGGGGAAGCCATGTAAAAATCCAAGAGAGAGAGGTGCACTTTTCACGGGCCGGCAATATTATTTTAGATAATCCCACTGCTGTCACCAAAAATCTATGTTACGTTTCTATTGGTGGGTTTAGGGAGTTTGTCTAATTCGGGTGCCCGTGGAGCGTTGAACCGCTCTGCTCGTTAAAAAATTGAATGATGTACAAGACTAAGATAACTTTTAAGGAAGATATTTTATTTCGGTGCTCTAAGATGTAAACTGTTTGACTGTTGAATAAAGTCTGCTACTTTTCGTGGAGTTCAGCATCTTCTTTCAGCTTCCTTTGCGTCCTTCCTTCTCAGAAAATAGGAAAATTTGAGTCCTCCAACTGAACGTGAATTTATCGAATGGTCCGTGTTCCGATTGCAGCTCGATAATGATTGGCGGCTCGACAGTGCGCGCATGCGGGTGAGAGTACATGGAAATCGAGCGAGTAAAGGTAAAAACCCGCCGAAACGAGAAATGGGGAGGTGTATAGCGTGTGAAGATTTCGGCTCGAATTGGAGCTAGAGAGAGAGAGAGTTCCAAGAGGTCATTGTCTGAAGGTTTACGACTTCCTGTCCTGAAAGGATCAGAGTTTGCGACTGCCTTGTCTATTTGAAATTGGAGAAGATCTTTCAAGAGGCTACATGACTTTCTCTGCATTCCTCAATTAATCTCGCTAACAAAAACTCATCAAAGAATTTCATGAGAACTCTCTCGTTATCTCCTTTACTATTCTCAGCTATTGCTCTTAGACAATAATACATATCCTTGAAATATACCATTATATGTACGATCTCAATGTTACGTTTTATATTCAAATTTCCCTCCTGTTGTTATTTACATGAAGCATATGTATAATATAGTAGCGCTGTTGTAATATTACGTAGAAGCTATGTTCGCATTAGTTATGCAATGAGGCAACATAACAACATCAGGACTCTTGCTGCTCGATCCGTATGAAGTTGAACCAAAAATCCCTTGGATTGGTGACACCGATACTATTGTAATTTCGCTGTTGGATGCACATCTAGTAATTTCTGCTTAACATAGCTTTAAAATCTGTAATCTTTTATACTCTCATAGTCTTTCGTATGTAACGTATTTAATGACTACCGACTAAGCAATAAACAACAAAATATTCAAACAATTGATTATTCCGATTTAGAGGTAAGTTTGCTCTATATATGTATATGTTTATATACATATGTATATGTATACTTATAATATGTATATGCATATTTATAATAGGTGTGTACATTGATTTATTATAATATAGTTTGTTGCAATGGAAAAATAAGTGTATGCTTTGAAGTATACATAAAATACTTCATACTGCGTCTATGCTAATATTAACCTTTGCACAATGAATTACCGAGCACCGAATACAGGAACCATTTAGGCCCGGAAAAGTTAGTATTTTTATGATTGAAAATGAGATTTTTATAGAATATTGAATTGGAAAAATATTATTTAATAATTAAAAATAAATTAAAGTATTTATTGGACATACCAAATATTTCTTTATTGCAATCTACGTATAAAATATATGTTTTATTTATTTTGTGTATATTGCAAACATGTATTAGACGTTTATTACATTTTTTTGGTATTGTTTATCTTCGATACAAATATGTTATCTAGCTATAGTCAGTCCAGTAGCTCCTAAAGACTATCAATGTTTGACAGTTTATATTTGCCCAGCAAAGGTTAAAACTCTTCAAACATTGTAATTAATCAAACATTTTTTTGTTGTATCTTTTTTCATAATGTATCATTTTATTTTTATTAAGATATGCCATTTTATACATAAATTAGTTTTTCATGTTCTGTTTAATATATTTAAATTGACATTATGTGCTTTCATAGGACATACAAACATGGCTTTACGCACATACGGTGATAAACCTATAAGTTTTCAAGTTGAAGAAAATGGGGAATATTATTGTATTGGATCAGAAGTCGGCAATTATTTGCGTCTGTTTCGAGGATCATTGTATAAACGATACCCAGGAATGTTCAGGAGATCCATCACAAATGATGAACGAAAAAAGTTAGTTGAACTTGGTCTAAGTCAGCATGTACTTGCATCTAGTGTGTCTCTCTTGAGAGCCAGCGAAGTTGAAGACATTATTGAAGGCAATGATGATAAATACAAAGCAGTATCAGTACATTCAACAGAACCGCCAGCCCCTAGAGAAGGGAAATCAAAGAAATCAATGCCATGGGTGCCTAGTTTACCAAACAGTTCACACCTAGATGCTGTGCCACAAGCCACACCAATTAATCGTAATAGAGTACACAATAAGAAAGTTAGAACATTTCCCTTATGGTAAGACCTTGTGGTAATATGTAGACCTGCATATTTTGTAGTTAATGTTCTATATTACAACACTTTAAATAATATATTGTCTTTATAAATACAAATTATTTTTTCAGCTTCGATGATACAGATCCATCAGCGAACTTAGAAAATGCAGCACAACAAGAAATGTTAGTTCCGATTCGTTTAGATATGGAAATTGAAGGTCAAAAATTAAGAGATACATTTACATGGAATAAAAATGGTATACTTATTTACATAATTCAGTTAATATCAAAATATATCTATAGTAATATTTCAAACGCACATGTTATAAGATTATATTTTTTTCTAGAGAGTCTTATAACACCAGAACAATTTGCGGAGGTATTATGCGATGATTTAGATTTAAATCCTCTCACTTTTGTACCAGCTATTGCACAGGCTATAAGACAGCAAATAGAAGCTTTCCCTCAGGAAACAATTCTCGAAGATCAATGTGATCAGCGAGTAATAATTAAGTTAAATATACACGTAGGCAATACATCTTTAGTTGATCAAGTAGAATGGGATATGTCCGAAAAAGAAAACAATCCTGAAAAATTTGCAATGAAACTTTGCGCAGAATTAGGACTTGGTGGAGAATTTGTAACTGCCATTGCATATAGGTCTGTATTCACAATACATATTTATACATTTTGAAAGAAACTAGTGTTGTTCAGCTTGATAGAAGTAAATCTTTTCCTCAGTGTTCGAGGACAATTGTCGTGGCACCAAAGGACATACGCATTTTCTGAAGCCCCTTTACCTACCGTTGAAGTACCTTTCAGACCTCCTTCAGAAGCTGATCAATGGGCTCCATTTCTAGAAACATTAACAGATGCGGAAATGGAGAAAAAAATACGCGATCAAGATCGAAATACGAGGTAAGCAATGTAGTGCTACATTATTTGCATGTGAAAAATAACAGTTGATTCTAACGTTTGTTTTAATTTCAGACGTATGAGACGTTTAGCAAATACAACACCTGGATGGTAAAAAATATGTAAAGACTTTCATTCTCTTTGCTAATTTTAAGATTTTTTTATAAAACTGTATATATGATATAATTATGTTAATAATTAGAAAACAAATAAAGCTCATTCTAATAAATATTTATATATTTACTAAAATAAAAATACAATTGTCTATGATTTTCCATTACAACATTTTTATATCTCTAATTGATTCTTTAGTTTCTTAATGTTTATTTACACAGCTGTATTCATTATTTCTGTTACATAATATGGGAAGTGGAAACATTCATGATAGTATACTATACTCCAAGTGCTTATGAAATTTAAGTCACGCTCTCGTAGCACAATGAGATAATCAGAATGATGATAAGAGATTTGATAATTTCTACCAATCTGCCAATGTTAAAGTGGTTCATCGAAATTAACCAAAATTTAAACCAATTTTATTAAAGAAAGCCGTAATTTAAAACAAATTTTTTTTTCAATTATTCAATTATATCCAAATAAAAACATGACATACTTTCATTTGTTTACACAAAGAAATTCAGTTGCAAAAGAAGTTGTATGAACTTTAATAATAATTAAAAAAGAATCCAATAACACAAAGACAACTGTTAATCAAAAACTGAGAAGAGAAAACTATTTTTATAATTAGATTCAATAATAAAAAATTGATACTTTTATTACATAAATAAAAGACGCGGAAAATATTTACATAAATTAGAAAACTACAAATGTTATTTTATTTCGTCTGTTACGGACCCTTCGAATATTTTTATTGCTATGAATATTTTTATTTACTATGTTTGGCGAATATTTTTCGAGTAAAAGAAATTTTGTTGAGGAAGGGGAACATTGGTACGCGTATCGAAGCAGACGAATATTAATCGACTCAGTTCAGAATCGACGGCTAACGGGACGAGACAACGGACATACAGATCGAAATCTGGAAAATGGATATCCATTCTTTAATATATAGATCATTACAAGAATCAAACAGAATTTCAACATTTAATAATCCTTTCCCCTGTCGACCTTGGCTTAAAGATTCTGGATTTGGAGCTCCTGCCGGTAATGGCTTGAAGGGAATAATAGCTGGTATGTTATTTCATTTTTTATTTTAATAATACTTAAATTAGGCAACCTGTTAATGTCGCGTACTTGCTGTCCTTTATCACTTGTCAAAATAGAACGGTAAAGTGTAAACACCTTAACTGAGATTGAAAGAGATGTACAAATGTGTAATGCTAATGGAGGGAGAGAGATAAATGAACTTTGAGTCAGCGTGTTTAACGCGTGATAGTTTCAAAGGTTGAGAAATGTTTAACCTTGAAAAGGCACAGTAAACGTATTTTTTATTACGACACACATTTCGACATTCTTTTAGTTTTATACATGTTATATGTATTTCACACACTTATATTGAATAATGATTATTAGGAGATTCTCCTTCACTATAAAGTGTGTAAAAGAATTGTTAATGAAAACAAGACGAAGTATTCATAAAATTATAATGTAATTTTGGATTTTTCTAGGTGGAATTACTGGAGGTATAGAAATATGTATTACGTATCCAACAGAATATGTAAAAACTCAATTGCAACTTGATGGAAAAGCTGGGGCAGGCAAGCAATATTCAGGAATATGGGATTGTGTAACAAAAACTATAAAAACTCATGGAGTTTTTGGCCTCTATAGAGGCCTTGCCGTCTTAGTTTATGGTTCAATACCTAAATCGGCAGTACGTTTTGGTTCTTTTGAAACGATGAAGGGTTTATTAGTAGATGAAAGTGGCAAACTTACTACTCAAACTAGCTTTTTAGCAGGATTATGTGCTGGTGCATCTGAAGCTATTCTTGCAGTTACTCCAATGGAGACAATTAAAGTAAAATTTATTAATGATCAACGATCTCCTAATCCAAAATACAGGGGATTTCTTCATGGAGTAAGAATGATTATTAAGGAATATGGTAAGTATTATAACATACAGTAAAAATATTTGAATTTAAATATGATAAACATTACATCAATGATTTGATATAGATTATAATTTAATATAAGGTAGTAGAAACTAAAATCTTAGTTATTTCTTTTTTGTCTGAATACAAAAGGAATATATTTGTCTTGAATTACATGCGTAATCAAGTTAATTGTCCTTGAAAAGTGATCAAGTCATATTATGCATAGTTCTCATTGCAGTATTCTATTACATAATGTCTCTCTCTCTCTCTCTCTCTCTCTCTCTCTCTCTATAGTATTCTGGTATGATGCATATCTGAAAATGGAAAATATAAGCATGAAATATACAATTCTGAATTATAAGTTTAAAAATATTATTAGATTATCATGTGTTATTATATGACTTAAATACTAAATATTGTATGTAATCATGTTATTTAGGATTCAGAGGCATATATCAAGGTTTAACACCTACAATCTTAAAGCAGGGATCGAATCAAGCTATCAGATTTTGTGTTATGAACATGTTAAAGGATTGGTATAAGGGTGATAATAAAGATGCATCTGTACCAAAATTGGTGATTGGTGGATTTGGTGCATGTGCTGGAGCAGCGTCAGTCTTTGGAAATACTCCTCTTGATGTTGTTAAGACTAGAATGCAGGTATGGATTTTGGTTTTTATAGTTATTATAAATAATGACATTGTTTCATTAAGAATGATTATTCAATATCGTTCATTTTATAGGGTTTGGAGGCTGCAAAATATAAAAACACTGTTGATTGTATAATTCAAATATGGAAGAATGAAGGACCAACTGCATTTTACAAAGGAACTCTTCCAAGATTAAGTAGAGTATGTTTAGATGTTGGCATTACATTTATGATATATGATTCCTTTATGGAACTTTTCAGCAAAGTTTGGCCATGAGAGTTACTATATGTTTCTAAATATATAATTAGAGGCATTAGATGTGTATAAGAGACAGATATAATTAGAGGCATTCATGCAAACATAGCTTTCATATATACATACATTTTATATTTGTATAATATATATATATTTTTCTAAGAAAAATTTTTATTTAATATATAATTTATATAGCTAATAGAGAAAATTCTATATGGATTTGATTCACAGATAATACAATTTTATTTACAAATTTGTTTACTGGTGTTGCATCAGTTCTACAATCTGATTTAATATATTATTAAATATAACACATTCCTACATATTCGAATGTTCGAATAAATGTTCATATTTTAGATGTGTATAAGAGACAGTTTATATACAGAAGAGTAAACGGTTTTTCATGTACAGTTATGATTTATATATTCTAGATTTGTACTTTGAAAATGAATTTTTTGACATGCAAATTATGTAATATGCTATAAGTTGCTGAGGTGTTAATTATGGGCATAATAAAATAGACATTCTATATATCCTGTAATACTATGAGGTCTCTATTTTTAAGGAACTTCTATAAAATTCATCTATTTCAATATCATAGCTGCTACAGCAAGATTTCAATGATCATCAAATTCTTTAATAAATACAGGAATCTGAGCGAAGATCACCATATTTAAAAAACTATATACCTTTGTTCCGTTTAAACTGCATCATATTACATCTCATTATTAAAAACTGATTTATAAAAATTGTCACTAAGCTTGTATATTTTTTTCATATTTATTGCACTTTTATTTGAACTCTATTATTGAGATGTGTATAAGAGACAGTTTATATACAGAAGAGTAAACGGTTTTTCATGTACAGTTATGATTTATATATTCTAGATTTGTACTTTGAAAATGAATTTTTTGACATGCAAATTATGTAATATGCTATAAGTTGCTGAGGTGTTAATTATGGGCATAATAAAATAGACATTCTATATATCCTGTAATACTATGAGGTCTCTATTTTTAAGGAACTTCTATAAAATTCATCTATTTCAATATCATAGCTGCTACAGCAAGATTTCAATGATCATCAAATTCTTTAATAAATACAGGAATCTGAGCGAAGATCACCATATTTAAAAAACTATATACCTTTGTTCCGTTTAAACTGCATCATATTACATCTCATTATTAAAAACTGATTTATAAAAATTGTCACTAAGCTTGTATATTTTTTTCATATTTATTGCACTTTTATTTGAACTCTATTATTGAGATGTGTATAAGAGACAGTTTATATACAGAAGAGTAAACGGTTTTTCATGTACAGTTATGATTTATATATTCTAGATTTGTACTTTGAAAATGAATTTTTTGACATGCAAATTATGTAATATGCTATAAGTTGCTGAGGTGTTAATTATGGGCATAATAAAATAGACATTCTATATATCCTGTAATACTATGAGGTCTCTATTTTTAAGGAACTTCTATAAAATTCATCTATTTCAATATCATAGCTGCTACAGCAAGATTTCAATGATCATCAAATTCTTTAATAAATACAGGAATCTGAGCGAAGATCACCATATTTAAAAAACTATATACCTTTGTTCCGTTTAAACTGCATCATATTACATCTCATTATTAAAAACTGATTTATAAAAATTGTCACTAAGCTTGTATATTTTTTTCATATTTATTGCACTTTTATTTGAACTCTATTATTGAGATGTGTATAAGAGACAGTTTATATACAGAAGAGTAAACGGTTTTTCATGTACAGTTATGATTTATATATTCTAGATTTGTACTTTGAAAATGAATTTTTTGACATGCAAATTATGTAATATGCTATAAGTTGCTGAGGTGTTAATTATGGGCATAATAAAATAGACATTCTATATATCCTGTAATACTATGAGGTCTCTATTTTTAAGGAACTTCTATAAAATTCATCTATTTCAATATCATAGCTGCTACAGCAAGATTTCAATGATCATCAAATTCTTTAATAAATACAGGAATCTGAGCGAAGATCACCATATTTAAAAAACTATATACCTTTGTTCCGTTTAAACTGCATCATATTACATCTCATTATTAAAAACTGATTTATAAAAATTGTCACTAAGCTTGTATATTTTTTTCATATTTATTGCACTTTTATTTGAACTCTATTATTGAGATGTGTATAAGAGACAGTTTATATACAGAAGAGTAAACGGTTTTTCATGTACAGTTATGATTTATATATTCTAGATTTGTACTTTGAAAATGAATTTTTTGACATGCAAATTATGTAATATGCTATAAGTTGCTGAGGTGTTAATTATGGGCATAATAAAATAGACATTCTATATATCCTGTAATACTATGAGGTCTCTATTTTTAAGGAACTTCTATAAAATTCATCTATTTCAATATCATAGCTGCTACAGCAAGATTTCAATGATCATCAAATTCTTTAATAAATACAGGAATCTGAGCGAAGATCACCATATTTAAAAAACTATATACCTTTGTTCCGTTTAAACTGCATCATATTACATCTCATTATTAAAAACTGATTTATAAAAATTGTCACTAAGCTTGTATATTTTTTTCATATTTATTGCACTTTTATTTGAACTCTATTATTGTTTACATAACAGTCGTTGAAAAAGATAATAAAAAATCAATCTATTTCTTTTCGCTCAGCCTGTCTCTTATACACATCTGATGTGTATAAGAGACAGCAATAATAGAGTTCAAATAAAAGTGCAATAAATATGAAAAAAATATACAAGCTTAGTGACAATTTTTATAAATCAGTTTTTAATAATGAGATGTAATATGATGCAGTTTAAACGGAACAAAGGTATATAGTTTTTTAAATATGGTGATCTTCGCTCAGATTCCTGTATTTATTAAAGAATTTGATGATCATTGAAATCTTGCTGTAGCAGCTATGATATTGAAATAGATGAATTTTATAGAAGTTCCTTAAAAATAGAGACCTCATAGTATTACAGGATATATAGAATGTCTATTTTATTATGCCCATAATTAACACCTCAGCAACTTATAGCATTTTACATAATTTGCATGTCAAAAAATTCATTTTCAAAGTACAAATCTAGAATATATAAATCATAACTGTACATGAAAAACCGTTTACTCTTCTGTATATAAAAGTGATTAAAGAAAACGACTTTGTTATCTTTTACAAATGTTATTTTTGTAAATTGTTCAATAAAATATGTTTCTAATATATATAAAGAATATGTTCATTAGTTTCACTTTGTTATATTATAAGATTTAAATTAATACAATATTATGTCTAGTTTTATCTCAGTATAAACAGTATACATATCATATTATCATTTTTTATAACTATCCAATATCCGTGTATTATGCATCCATGCAATATTTAAAAATGTATTAAATACGCAAGTTTCTCATTTCTATATAGGTATATGTACTACTTGCGGTAGCATATGAAGTATGTATGTATGTATATCTTTATAGTACATGCACGTAAGGCCCAATATGCGAAGAGTAGAGAAGTAGACAGTGCCGGCCCCACTCTGGGCCTAAGGGAGACCTGAGGTCACATTCCAAGATGGCTGTGCCTGAGGAATGCAGTGGGTGCCCCCCTAAGACGCCTTCCTCCCTCCCTTTTTATTAATCGAACCAATTCACTCATTCTAGCAAATACTCTGATTATTAGGACGAAATAACTAATGTCAATGTTTAATCGATTAATGTCGTCAAAATTTGAAACTAGTAGTACGTGAGAAATAAATGTGAGTGAGGAAAAGGAAGTGGTGTTGGAAGTCCTAGGAAAGCCTTACATATATTCTAAAATGTGTGGCCTTATCTAATTGAGCTCCCTCGCCGCAGATAATGCTCATGCAGGAGGATGCTACCTGTTCGTCTTAAACAATGTCTCATAGGGATATCTCTGAGGTAACAATACGATTCTTTATACTATATGTCGCAACAGGTACAACTGTTATTATATTATTTAACTAAAAAAACTGTATGGACTTTAGTACTTCATATTTTATTATTTATTAAAAAAACCATTCGACTTATATTTTATGCAGGATGAGTCATGTTATTTGCACATCTTAAATAACTTATAGATTATGTGTTTTATGGAAAATTATTAAGTACAAAAGATATATGGTTTCAAAGAAGGCAAGTGATGACATATCAACTTTTGTATTTAACAATATTTTACAAAACGCATAATATAAAAGTTATTTGAGACACAAATTACGCCACTCACCCTATGCTACAATGTACATTACTTCATTAAAACTTATAAAATATATAAACAATGATTATTTTAAAAATTTTATAGTGACATGTTTTTATTATTGTTAATTACCGTTATTTATTTATAACGATCTGATAATAAGTAATATTACAAAACACTGTTATATGTTTCTCCATTATAAATTTAAAACTATTATGAATGTTTAAGGTGGAGCCCGAAGGTACGTCGGCTTTGGCTGCTGGATCGCGGTCTCTATTTTTAGAGACAGTCTGTCGTAGCAATGCAGCTTGTCAAAATGGTGATTATGCACTTGCTGCAAGCTTATACACAGAAGCTCTTGCTTTGGATCCTCTTAGTCATGTGCTGTATTCAAATAGATCAGCAGCACGACTCAAAATGGGTTTATTTGCACTTGCTCTTCAAGATGCAGTTAGAGCTACCGAACTTAGTCCTCAATGGCCAAAGGTATAATTTAAAGTTTTACTTACTGTTTGTTAACAATTGATTAAATCGTTCTTTTTATTTAGGCATATTACCGCCAAGGAGTAGCTTTACAATGTTTAGGAAGGCATGGAGAGGCCCTCGTGGCTTTCAGTACAGGTCTGGCACACGATCCTTCTAGTTGTCAACTATTGTCTGGCCTGGTAGAGGCATCTTTAAAATCTCCGCTGCGTGCAACATTGGAACCAACGTTTCAACAATTGCGTGCAATGAAACTTGATGAATCTCCTTTTGTTGTTATTTCTGTTGTTGGTCAAGAACTTCTTGGGGCAGGACAGTATAAAGCTGCAGCTGGTGTATTGGAAGCTGCACTAACCATTGGTTCGTGTAGTTTAAAATTAAGGGGTTCTGTATTTTCGGCTTTATCCAGTGCATACTGGGCATTAAATTCTTTGGATAAAGCAATAAATTATATGCAACAAGACTTAGGTAAGCACTTAATACAATAACAGATCTGAATATAGAATAGAATTTCTTTTTTTAACTTGTGAGTAAAAATACTTTTAGGAGTGGCACGATCTTTAGGAGATACGCAGGGTGAATGTCGAGCTCATGGAAATTTGGGCTCTGCGTATTTTAGCAAAGGTAGTTTCAAAGAAGCTTTAACAGCGCACAGATATCAATTGGTTTTAGCTATGAAGTGCAAAGACACTCAAGCTGCAGCTTCTGCTTTAACAAGCTTAGGTCACGTTTATACAGCAATTGGTGATTTACCGAATGCGCTTGCTTCCCATAAGCAATGTGTACAATTGGTTAAACAAATGGGAGATCGACTTCAGGAAGCACGGGAAATAGGTAACGTGGGAGCAGTTTATTTAGCGATGGGAGAATTTGAAAGTGCTGTTGATTGTCACACCCAGCATTTGAGAATAGCAAGACGACTAGGAGATCGCGTAGAGGAAGCAAGAGCTTTTAGTAACTTGGGATCATCTCATCACTATAGAAGAAATTTTGGTCAAGCAATGGCTTATCACGAAAACGTTCTAAGAATAGCTCAAGAACTCGGCGATAGAGCAATAGAAATGAGAGCATATGCTGGATTGGGTCATGCTGCAAGATGTGCAGGTGAAAAACTTATTCGGAACGAAAACTAATGAGGAAACCGGCGAAGAAATGAATCTTATTGTAAAATTTCTTTCAAATATATCCTTATTTAGGCGATCTTGCACAAGCCAAGCTGTGGCACCAGAGACAACTTGACGTTGCATTAGCTACAAAAGACAAAGTAGCTGAAGGACGAGCATGCAGCAATTTAGGCATAGTATATCAATTACTTGGTGAACATGAAGCTGCACTTAAATTGCATCAAGCTCATTTAGGAATTGCTAGATCGTTGGGAGATAAAGCTGGCATGGGCAGAGCGTATGGAAACATCGGAAACGCTTATAATGCATTAGGATATTATGAACAGGCTATTAAATATCATAAACAAGAATTAACAATAAGTAAAGAGGTCAATTATATAACGTATTTAATGAAAAATAATATTTGTATATCTAAATTGCATAAAAAACTTCTTACGATTTAATGTAGGTCAATGATCGTAGTTCAGAAGCTAGTACACACGGGAATTTAGCGGTAGTATATCAAGCTGTACAAGGTCATGAGGCAGCATTAAGGCATTATAGAGCTCACTTAGTTATTGCACGGGAGTTGAAAGACACCGCGGGTGAAGCATGTGCTTTACTTAATCTTGCCAACTGTTTGTCATCTCGTGGCAGATTTGAAGAAGCAGTCCCATACTATGAAAATTACCTTATGTTGTCCCAAGAGTTGCATGATGTCGAAGGAGAAGCAAAAGCGTGTCACTTTTTGGGTTACGCTCATTACTGTTTAGGCAATCATCGTGAAGCTGTCAGATATTATGATCAAGACTTGGCATTAGCCAAGGATTTACAGGACAAATCAGGAATGGGAAGAGCATACTGTAATTTAGGATTAGCACATTTAGCTCTTGAAAATTTAGATACTGCACTAGAATGCCAAAAATATTATTTAGCTATTGCGCATATGACTAAATATAAAAACAATAATAAAATTTCAGAATATATATTATATGTTTATATGTAGCTATTGCGCATATGACTAAGCATTTAGCTGGAAAATTTCGAGCGTTGGGAAATATTGGTGATTGTCTCTTGCGTCTTGGTGAAGCTGAAGAAGCGATAAAAATGCACCAACGACAATTAAATTTAGCCCGTCAAGCTGGCGATCGGAGTCTAGAAGCTGCTGCTTACGGAGCGTTAGGTATAGCTCATCGGACGATAAAAAATTTGGATAAAGCTCTAGGATTTCATACTCAAGAATTGACTTTAAGACAAGAAGCCGGGGATTTGCGTGGTGAGTGTAGAGCTCACGGAAACTTGGGCGCAGTACATATGGCATTGGGTCAATATACTCATGCGGTTAAGTGTTATCAAGAACAGTTAGAAAGATCGAAAGAATTAGCTGATTCAGGGGTCGAGGCCCAAGCATTAGGTAAAGTTTATACGGAGTTATTAAACTTGTACATAATTTTAACAGTTTGTACAATTTAAAAGGGTTTTACTATATTCTTTAAATAGGAAATTTGGGGATAGCTAGACTGAATATGGCACATTATGAAGATGCAATTGGATATTTTGAGCAACAACTAGCAACTTTAGAACCTTTGACTACGGGTACAGCTTTGTTAGACAAAGCCAGAGCTCTTGGCAATTTAGGTGATTGTTATGAAGCATTAGGAGATCCAGAAGAAGCTATTAAATGTCACGAACAGCAATTGGCAGCTGCTACAAAGTTAAAAAGCATAAGGGAACAAGAAAGAGCATATCGAGGATTAGGTAGAGCTCGAGAAGCGACCGGGAATTTGCAAGAAGCATTGGTTTGCTTTGAAAAAAGATTGGTGGCCGCGCATGAAGTTGACAGTCCAGAATCAAGAGGTGCTGCTTATGGAGATTTAGGTGAACTATATAATCCACTATTTTCTAAATAGATTTATGCATAGCATAAATTAATCACAATTAATGTTATAGGTAGAGTACATGCTGCATTAGGTAATCATGAACAAGCTGTAAGTTGTCTGTCGCATCAACTTGCTCTTGCTAGAGGACTTGGAGATAAAGCTGCTGAAGCTGAAGCCGCTAGTGGATTAGGAGCGGTTCATTTGTTAATGGATGATCCAAACTCTGCTTTGCGACATCACCAATTAGAATTATCAATTGCTGAAAGTTTAGATGCAGCTGGATTACAAGCTAGAGCTTGTGCGAATTTAGGTGTGACTCAAGAAGCTTTAGGACAATTTGAAGAAGCTATAAGATTGCAAGAACAGTCGCTGAGTCTTGCAGCAGCAGCTGGAGACCAACCAGCGAGAGCAGCTGCTTTTTCTAGCTTAGGACGACTTCATCATTTGTGCGGTGACTTATCACGATCCTTGAGTTACTTACAATCTGGCTTATCATTATCTGAAGGTTTAGGAAGAAGAGAAGAAGCAGCTAGATTAAGACACAGACTCGGTCTTGTTCATTGGGAAGCTAGTGAAGCAACAATTGCTGTAGAACATTTAGAAAAAGCTGCAAATTTGTTGGAATCGTTAGACGGAACTTCTTCTGTCCTAACTTGTGGACAACCAAATAAATGCGAGTTATTATCGGAAACGTATAGAATGTTACAGAAAGTGTTAATCAATTTAAATAGAGCTGAAGAAGCTTTAAATTGGGCAGAAAGATCGAGACGTTCTAAAAGTAATTGTTTGGACGACGCTGCGCATTATTCAGAAATTATTGACAGACAACGTGGAGTAATATTGTATTATAGGTAGATTTTTGTTTAGCAATATTCAGTCTACGATAATGATAATTTTTTTTTTAAGCTATCGATAAACACAATGTAATATTTCAGTGAAGTAGGATGCGAATTACACGCTTGGTGCTTAGCCCCTGGTCGAGGTTTGTTACGGTTTCATTCATCTACTTTGGACGACGGTGTAGGATTGGAAAAACGAGTTTTGCAGGCACGAGAAGCTCTCTTAGATGAAACGAGTGAACTTGTCGAAGAAGCGAAAATACCATCACGAGGACATCATCTTAATGCCAGCTCTTATAGTTTAAGTAGTCTGTTTAGCGTGGGCTCGGTCAGCTCTCGAGCAGGAAGCGCTCGATGGGGACGGGGATCAAAAGGACCCACGTGGCAACCACCAGTGCCAATTCAAGTACTTTACCATTTACTTTTGGCTCCATTCGAGGATCTTTTACCACCTGCAAGAAAGGAATTGATAATGGTAGTGGAGAAGTCGCTATATTTGGCTCCACTTCCAGCATTACAATCAAATCCTGGAGAAGATTACTTGTGCGAAAGATTTTCCTTATTAGTCGTACCATCTCTTGCAGCTTTAAGGAAACGATCAAAAACTCCTATGCCAGAGGGTGGCGCCACGGTTGCTGCATTAGTTGCAGGTAACCCAATACTTTCTGAAGAACTCAGAGAAGAATATGGGTGGACTGAAAGTGTATCCTCTACCGAAACGGAATCTGAGATAGTTGCCGAGCTATTGGAAGCCCGTGCATTAACTGGTAAATATTACCATATGATAGAAGATGAATTACTCGCTAATAAGTAAACCAATTTCAAAAAAGTTAAATATTGTCGTACTACATACATTTATTCAATTGAAATGCTTAGGAAGAAAAATTTGATGTGAAACACTCACTTTTCTAAATTCGGGTATAACAAAACGAATTCACATCTTTTTATTTATATTAATAGGGGCAGAGGCAACTAGATCGGCTGTTCTAAGATCACTACCTGACGCAGAGTGTGTACATTTGACAGTGCCAGTCTTTTGGAACTCTGGTAGTTTGGTATTAACTGCCGATCAATGTGAAGAGGCTTCTGAAAGACCAGAATATTTATTAAGTTATACAGATATTGCAAAATTGAGAATAGCTGCACGATTAGTTGTCATATCTAGTGGTCATTGTTGGAATAACATAGAGAACACAACTGCTACAGCAGATGGTGTACACAATTTAGCTAAAGCTTTATTAAATGCAGGGGCACAATGTATACTTATTGGAATGTGGGCAGTTCCGCCCACAGCTGGCAGTATTTTGTTACGAGCATTTTATAGTGCCATGTTGCAAGGTGCTAGAGCATCAAGAGCATTAGCAGAAGCAATGCAAACAGTCCAACATACAAGACATTTCGCTCACCCTGCAAATTGGGCTGGTTGGCTACTTGTTGGTGGAGATGCGAGATTATCAAACAAAGTATAAAATTTATTTTAATGTAACTGAAATATTACATTCTACTGTAATATTTCGCACAATATTAAGAATGGTCCGCATGATTATTCACAAATTATTTGTTTAGGTCGCTCTAATGGGTCAGGCGCTTGCTGAATTACTGCGTGGTGGTCCTGAACAAAGCCGTGATGCTTTACGTGTAACTCTTCATTTAGTAGAAAAATCATTGCAGCGAATACATCGGGGACAGAAAAATGCTATGTATACCACACAACGTAGCATCGAAAATAAAGTAGGTTCAGCCTCGGGATGGCGAGAACTTTTAATGTCAGTGGGATTCAGATTTGAGCCCGCCGGAAACGGAATACCGTCTTCTGTATTTTTCCCACAAAGTGATCCCGAAGAGAGATTAACAAGATGTAGTGCTAGCTTGCAAGCGTTATTAGGACTAGGACCGTCATCTTTACACGCGCTTGCTAGGTTGTTACAGGTAAGAAATAAAACTGTTTCAGTATACATACAAAAGTATATTACAATAAGTAATGATGATATATCTTATGGTGAAAAAAATACATTTTATAGGCACCTGAAGCTGCAGAAGATGTCATTGCAGCAATGCGGAGAGCTAGTTGTGCAACAGAAGGTCAAGAAGTTACATTACCGGTGCAAGTATGGAGAGTTTCAGGATCCCACGAATTGTTTGCGAGTTTAGGTTTTGATCTAATGGAAGTTGGTCAATCGGAAGTAATATTGAGAACAGGAAAGCAAGCATCACGAAGGGCTGTTCAATTTGCTCTTCAAGCTCTTCTTGCTTTGTTTGGTAAATCTATATTAAATATGATGATATAAGTACCTTTAAAATAATATATTCTAATTTTATAAACATATTCTTAGATACACAAGAAGCACCTAAAAGTTTGAGTTTAGACTCCAGTAGTTCAATGGAGAGCCTAGCTTCTGTTCCTCATACTGAGAAAAATGTTATAGAGCGACCTCGACTGGGAGGTGCATTTGCGAATTATGTTCGACATCGAGGAGAACCAGATGGAAAAACTATGGAACCACCGAATGTTCAAATACCTACATCTCGTCAACCTTGTCAAAATGGTGGAGGTAAAGACGAATTCTTTTCAAATACATACGCATATGTATAGTGAGTATAAGACTAAAAATTAATGTGTTTTATAGGTGAATCGGATGTCGCCTTTACTCCAAGTCCTCCAGTGGCACTCAATTTAAATCATCAAGCCCATATTAGAAATCTTTATCCTGATCAAAGTATAAGACCTGGATCTAGTTCAAGCAGTTCGGTAACAGATTGGGATAGCGGTCATGCGACTGTGTTAAGGAAACAACCATTACCACCTCTACCAGCAACTATCTTAGAGAGATTAAGCGTTAGAACAGAAATTGGGTCTAATTCTCCAAGAAAACCGCGTCATCCCACAGCCACTGAAGATATTTGCTCACAATCTGATTCTACGCCATCTGCAGAAACGCATAATCAAAATTTGAGAAATGTGGCTACGTCTCTTACAAGTCTTACACGTGAATTAACACCCACAATTTCGGAAGTGTATCACGAGCGTAATTTAGGATTAGGATTAGCACCATCTTTATCAAAATTACTAGAAGAAGTGGCTTCTGTTCCTGAAAACGAAGAACCTCAATCAACGCGAACAAATCACAGCCAGAGTCAAAATTGGATACAAACTGAGTCGGAGTTGTGTCGAAGGGACGAGGCTGATGGTAGATCTATTGCTGAATCACAATGTAGTGCTACTAGCTCTAACAAAATCCACCGCAAAGCTCCTCCTCCTCCGGTATAGATTATTTATATAATATTTATAAGTATCAAATGATATGTTATGTGGATAATAATAGTACTGGGTACCAAAGAATGAAAGATATTTTATTGGAAACAAATTTTCATTGTATTGAAATCCGGATTGAACATAATCCATACCAATTGTTCGCTTTATAACAAAATTGTTCTACCCACACAATATTGTTTCATACTTTTACAGAATAAAATTTATCAACGTGTTATCAGCTAATGCTACTTATATTGATGATTAATAAAATTTAATGTTAAGAGCATATTGAATGCTACATCACCCAATGCTATACCTATATTTGTTAATGCAAAAATGTACTATATTATTACTAAGATGAACTGTACAATAATGTTGTATTGAAATTTAATAATGCAAACACATATTTCCATGTGGAAAATGTGACTACTAAATAAAAGGTATGCATTGCAGACTGAAAATTAATTAAAAATTTTAAAGTATATCTCAGTAAATTGTACTTTTTCCATACTTATAAACATATAATTATACGTGCTTGCTGTCTGGCAGCGTATAGTGGACAAAGTGTAACATGTACACGCCGAACTACAATTTTGTGCGAGTTGATTGGGTGTAAATAAAATACATAATACCTTTTATAGATCGTAGCTGTTACTGTACACCATTACAAGATTGTAGAGGGTGGTAAGGCATCATTTTATATGAGCGTTGATCAGAGTCAGAGTAAGAAAGGCACAATTACTGTATGGAAAGATTTATGACAGATCATTAATATTGAGCAGGAAATTAGAACTTTTGGGCAATATATGTTTACCAGAATATTGTTCTGAAGTAATTTGTAGGCCCTGATTGTTTTCGTGACATTTTAATAAGGCTAATTCGAAAAATGTTAAAAATAACACATTCAATCATCCTTGTCATAAATCTACTAATATCGAAGACTTTGTATGCTGTAACAATAATGTTGTTAATATTATGATTCCTTTCTCAAATAAAGATCAGGGTGTTCACATTGATATTATATTTAGAACACGATGAAAGTATTATTGGTAGTGAATGGAATAAGATTTAAATAACAGATTTGGAAAGTCTTTATAAAAATATAAAATGCGAATACGAAGTAATACACCTTTATTTGAAAATTTTATTAAAACAATTTTAAGTGTCCGGTCACTTGATCTATCAATGGAGCTGGACCTGGACCAACTGCACATACAGTTCTACTTCCAGGTGCTACTTGTGTGTGGCCAGCATCTTGTACTACATTTGCCAAGAGACCTATAGATCTTGCCTGTTTTGCTATTTCTTTTAGAGCATCTTCACTGTCAACCTTTAAGTTTTTTGAATAGTTTAATTCTTTAGTAGAAGTTCAATGCAAATTACATCAATACTATCATACTTAATAATTGAGTGATGTACCTTTACAGTAATTTTTGCTTGCCCAGATTCTTCCCAAGCGTCCAAAATTTTTGGATGTTTTGTAGCCGCTTTATATGCTGAAACAGCAGCATGAGCACATTGTGCTGCAATTTTACCCTTCCCCATTTTTAAGTCAGTTCTGATTACTAAGATGAGTTTATAATTATCATACTCGTCAG